AATGCCAATTTTATCTTTAATAGGTAATTGAATATTTTTAATCAAACATATACGACATCTTTGGATATACAATAAATGTTTGACTAAAAAGATTAATTTACCTCATAATTTTCACTATTCGTAGAATGATCGATTCACCTTTGGGTAAATTCTTAAGTTCTAGCAATAGTGAAAGTCAATTTATCTATTTATTTTTTCAATATATAGGCATTTAATTAACCTTCATAGATAAATGACAATTTTATGACTGCACATTCTTCTTAATCATACTAGTTTGGCCACTTTGGTGACTAGCAAACTATATAAATACAAATGCACACATAATATCATAAAATTTTGTGCATGTGAATAATTTTATACATTTTAGTTTGGCCACTTTGGTGACTAACAAACAATAGAAACATAATACATGCATCAAGTGATCATAAACATGATATGTGTAGACGTTAATTTATCTAGTTTGGCCACTTTGGTGACTAACAAACTATATAAGTACAAATGCATACATAATATAATAAAATTTTGGGTATATGAATAATTTTATACATTTTAGTTTGGCTACTTTGGTGACTAACAAACTACAAGACCATAATACATGCATCAAGTTGAAAAATCAGACACAGTTTCTCTTGGAATACTGAATATGCCAATAAATAATGAATTGTACTAATCCACATATGTCAAGTGACCACAAATATTATATGTGTAGACATTATTTTCTCTAGTTTGGCCACTTTGGTGTCTAACAAACTATATTGCACTAAATACACATATTATTTATTGCTTAGTATAACGACCACTTTAATTTATTGCACAATCTAAAATAAAACATAATTATTATATTATGGGGTTGCAAACATCAATTCTAAACTTTTCACGACTGATGATAACCTAATTAACAAGCATTACTTGTTTAACCATTGACCCCTTGCTCTTAATAAATCATAAGATAGCTTATAAAAATTTATCAGTAATGGCGCTTTAATATTTCAATATCCTCGTGTAAAAGTTTATTAGGACATCAATTATTGGCGAAGGCAAAAAGTTTCTCAATTCTCAGTTAAACATTACTTTGCATCAACATATTGTATTGTAAGCACGAATTTAAAATTACTATTAGTCTTCCAAATATTATCAGTAATGGCGAAAAAATTTTAGACCATCCTCACTGAAAATTTTGGATCTATCCCTCATGCAATTTTTTTAAATATGCTTGTTTTATATACGAAGATTATCAGTTCAAACAATCCAGGCTCTGATGCCACATGTTAGATTAAATACTTTCAGGATCTTGAACATGATAATCTTACATGGAGAATGTTAGAGGCACATACCTGATGCGGAAGACATCATCACAAAGAGAAGCGGAAGCGTTAGTCGTAAATTGGTTTCTACCTCCTTGTCCTAACTTTATGTTACCACAACCGTCAATGATGGAATTAATGTAGATATATGTGGTAACCCTAATGGGTGGAGGGAGGACCAATTTATAGAGGTTATGACTTAATATGGTACTCCATCAAGTAACCAATGTACGAACGAGATCTATTCCTTATTAAATATTATTTATGGTATTACTTTGATTCCAAGTAAACTTGGGCCATAAGTAAGAAATAATTAATAGTAAATAAATAATAATTCTTACACTTATCTCCATCTATGAAATGCCTGGACTCGGTAAAACAACTTTGGCAAGAAAGGTACTCAACAATCCCTCTATTGTTAATTACTTTGATGTTAAAGCATGGTGTACTGTGTCGCAAACATATAATAGGAGGACTTTATTGGTTGAGATTTTCAAACAAGCTATAAATGATGAGATCAAAATCAAAGAGAACGATGATGTTGCTGACATGTTGGGCAGGGTTCTAATAGGCAAGAGATACCTCATTGTATTAGATGACAATTGGGATGTCGGGGCATGGGAAGATTTGGGAATATGTTTCCCTCAAGGTGAATATGGAAGCAGAGTAATGGTTACAACACTAATTGAACAAGTGGCTAAGCATTTTCAGCACCACAGCGATCCTTATTCTCTTAGCTTTCTAACATCCAAAGAGAGTTGGGAATTATTGGAGAAGAAGGTATTTCGAGGAAAGAGTTGTCCCCCAGATCTACTGGAAGCAGGGTTGCAAGTTGCCCTACACTGTAAGGGATTGCCTGTTGTGGTTGTCCTGATTGTTGGAATGATTGCAAAAATGGATAAGGAGTCGTCCTTGTGGCTCGAGGTTGCAAATGACTTAAGTTCCATTGGTTTAGGAGAGCAGAGTATGAAGGTAATACAATCAAGTTATGACCATTTAGAAGACCACTTTGTCACACCCCGAGCCTACACCCTGGGCGGGACCGACACTCGGAGACCATTACTAGCCCCAAGCGAACCCTTGGCCTGACTTTCTTAACTTAGCGGAAACCTAACTCAATAGAATAACTCAATGCAATGAAAGGTCATAAAACAACCCAACTGATAAAATTTGACCAAAAAGGCAACTCGAGTCTCAAAATAGAATATTTACATACCTATACATAAATGAGAGACTCAATACTAACTGAATGACTGACTGTCTATGAAGCCTCTATAACACTTAGATAGATGTTGGGACAGACCCCGCAACATCCTAATAAAGCAAAACTGAAGAAAACAAAATAACTGAGTCCTCCGGAATGCAAAGAGGCTCACCACTGACTCTGGAGTGCTCAGTTGGATCAACGGCATGCTGAATGCTGATCCTGGGTACCTGCGTCTGCATCATAAGACGATGCAGGCCACCTGGCATCAGTACATGGAATGTACGAGTATGCGAGCTGGACCGCTAAACAACAACTTAAGCTTGAAAGGGATACAAAAGAGAACTTACCTTGGCTCTGTTCAACTCATGAATAACTGAACTCAATATAAAGCAATAAGACACATGCAATATATATAACGCTTGTAAAACTATTTAAAACATGACGTTAAAATCATATTTATAATATCATGAAAATACCATGCTTCCTCTCAAAGTCTACTTGTGCAATGCATGAATGAAGTCCCATACCCCCATCCATACTAAGCAGAACCCCTCGAGGAACCATGCAATTTCTACTGTGGGAATTTCTCTAACCGATAGCCACCACTATAAGCCTGAGTGGTGATACAGCGTCTTGTCCACGCTGCCAGAACTGTCCTATACTTTGTCGTCATATAGAACACTTTTGCTTAGTGGATCCACTAGCTTAACTTTCGTGATCATCTAAAAAGTATGACCCGAGAAATCCCATATTTGGCTACATGGTTCTTATGGAGAGTTGAGTTACTATGAACTCGTGTCCCCAATTCGGTGCTCAAGACTACTCCCAAAAATATACTTTAGCTCATAAATGTTTTAAACACATCTTTCTTCAATTTGAAATGATTGCTCAAACTACTCTCTTAAAAGAGGTAATTGCTCTTGAAAACTCTTTCTAAAAAGAACATATCAAAACCATATTTTAATATGATCATTGATGACTCGAGAAAGTGATACTGCATAAACATTGATGGTATATCTAGAGACCATACTGTTTAAACATTGATGACATACTCGATTTGTCATACTAATCATGTTTTAGAAACTCTTTCGCAAAACTCATCTTTTTCTTAAAAGAGATAGTACTCAACTGCTCAAAACTCTTTTGGAAATCTCAGTTTCCTCTCATCTTAAATGTGAAAATATTTATAAACTTCTTTGGGAATACTTAGTTCCCTAATAACTTTTTGAGAAATGAACTCAACTCTTGACTCTTGACTTAACTCGAAACTATTGACTTAAAATGAAGTTAAAACGTTCAATAAAGACTCTTTGAAAAACTTTAAAGACTTGCTTGGACTTGCTTCTTAACTTCTAAACTTGACTCTAACTTCACTTGACTTTGATCCGAACCTTCCTCAAATTGGATTATGAATTCAAGGGTAATGATCTCATGTTTATGGATGTGTTCTTGATGTTTAGATGTACCTTAGAGTATTGGAAACAACTATAAAACATAGGTACTTTACCAAGGAACATGTATGAAAAAGTGGGGAATGAAAGGTAAAGGGGAGGATTGGCGTCCTTGGCGCTCTAAGAGGCGCGGGGCACCAGCCCTCAAACTTCAGAGGGGCCTGCTGGGCGTTCTGTCAGGCGCTCTGACCCAAGGGGAAAGTTCAGCGTCCCTTTTTGGGGTGCGCTGGCTGGCGCGACACCCCAACCCTTTTCCCCCAAAAATCTGACTTTTTCCCCTTGTTTCTTTCCAACTCTAAACCCTCTCAACCTCAAAGGTTCCAGCAGCAAACACTTAGAATCATAAAGACCCTTAATATACAATAGATTCAACTCAAAACACAACCGGAAACATGTACCAAACCAACAAGAACTTCAACAACACAACCACAAGAATTCAACAACCACAATCAATCATTTCTCGGAATTAAAACGAGTTTGGCGTGTGGGGGAAAGAACCAACCCAACACTATGATCTCACATACCTTAATAGGGATCACCCCCGACGAAATCCACGACGATCTTGACGAATCCTTGCTTCTTCTCTTTTCTCCTCTTCTTCTCCTCTTCTCTCAAGAACCCTAACTCTCACTCTCACTCTTTTAAAAAGGGAAAAACTGATCTAAAAATCAGTCTAAATCCCTAATATAACCAAAAGAAATGGTTAGGGAAAAGACCAATTTACCCTTACAAATTCGGACTAAATTGCCCTGTGCGGCTGTGCCAACAGCCCAACTTCCAAAGGGCATAACTCACTCATACCAACTCAAAATCGAGCAAACTCGGCGGCGTTGGAAAGATAATTCCAAAATATTTCCATACATAACTGGAAATTTGCCTAAATCATCCTGAGCTAGGAGTTATTACCGTTCAAAGTTGACCAAAAACTCACTTTTTTTCCATACTAAGCGAATTTCCAGATTTTGAATTTTTCCAAAAATGACTAATTCCAATTCCAAGCTTCTTCATAGTTATTTCAAATTGCCGGATGTTACACACTTAAAGCCTTGCCTTCTTTACATGGCATTGTTTCCAGAAGACCATAAGATCCCAGTGGTCGATCTGCTGAAGTTGTGGATGGCTGAAGAGTTTGTATTGAATGTCGAAACAGAGAACATGGAGGAAGCATCCCGAAATTGCTTGAGTGATTTGCTTAACAGAAGCCTAGTAATGGTCTCCGGAATGAGAATTAATGGTGATGTAGAATACTGCTCACTTCATGATGTAGTGCGTGAGTTCTGCTTGAGAAAAGTCACAGAAGACAAGTATATGCAGCTCACTGTGCCATACAATCCATATCAACATTTGCATTCCACGGAATCACGGTTATGCATTTATATTCACGATGATTTTGTTAAACAATTAGATCATCCCGACTACCAGCTGGATAAGTTTCCAATGCTGGATTTCAAGGAAACAAATTCTTTGGAGTTCATTGCTCATTTAAAACTCAATACATGGAATAACCAATATTGGAATCCTTTAGATTTACTTGTTAAATTAAGATTTGTTCGGGCGTTGCATTTGATGGATGTCGCATTGCCAGATTCATGGGCTACTGCAATGCAATCGCTAACTGAGTTGAGGTACCTTGTACTTCATGTCAGACAATTTGAATTGGAATGGATATCACACATACACAATCTCCAAACTCTGCAGCTCAAGTCAAGTAAGAATATACGCCTTAGGGCTGCTACTTTATGGGAACTGAAGAAGCTAAGGCATGTGAATATAGACAGTTTTCCGGTGGTATGGGAAGACATTAATGACGAAGAATGTTCAACAAGTATGCTAGAGAACATGAAGAGTTTTGGCACTTGTGATATACGGTTGGATAATATGAATGCAAGGTTGTGGTGGAGGTTTCCGAATCTTGAAGAACTCGGCCTCCAGGTTGAAGATGAACCTAAGTTTCCTTTGTTTCCCGTACCAGAAGTTCATACTCGCCTTCATTCTGTTTCTCTGAAGTTCTCATTAATGAAAGTCTTCAGTTCAGTTGGATGGGAGAAGTATTTTGTGTTCCCTTCAAATCTTAGGCATTTGAACTTTAGCGGCTGTGTCTTGACGGAGGAAACGGTTTTAAACATTGCAAGATTGAAGAAGCTTGAGAGTCTCAAATTATTTGTGGGATTTCCTTATGGGAGATTACAGAGGTTTCGGAGCTGTAGCTGGGATGTCACAAATGTGGAGTTCCCTGCACTCAAATACTTGACATTACAGAGTGTGATGATGAAAGAGGAGTCCTTTCCTGTGCTTGAGAAGTTAGTTATAAGAGGAGGTTTCATCAAGGAGATCCCTCCTAGCTTGAGGATATTCCAACACTAAAACTTATTGAACTGATTGACTGAATGGAGTTTCTAGGGGTTTCAGCTATGAATATCAAAAGAGAGATTGAAGAAAACACAGGATGTGACAGTCTCCATGTTCTAGCTGTAAAACAAAAATAAATGTATTTAGAAGCAATTCAAAGTTGCTCTATTTCCACTTCTGTATTGTCACATTATTATCTTATTTTTTTTATTAGGAAGTTTTTTAACTTGGAAGCTGAGAGTGCAATTCAACTTTGAATAAGACACCAAAACAAAATTTGATCTTTTTATAAAAACACAACAATACATTTTACATAATGTAGAAGGTTTGAACGTTTGAGAGATTTTAGAATATTCAATAATTAAAGAATAAAAATAGTGAAAGGAGAATAAAGAAAAGTAAGTATAAGAACACAATATTGTTGGTTCATGATAATCGTTAGAATATAAATGAGCTAGACAACAAAATAGATAGCCACGTGCGAAACTAGAAAGGATACTACAATTAACTAGCCACATAAGAATCTAGAAAAGATACTACAATCAACTAAACAATATTCAATTTCTCAATTATATTTTCTATACAAAAAGTTCTTTTCAAATTTATCAATACATGAAATTTTTTTAACAATATATATACATCTTTAGGAGAAAATTGGGAGAGTTTTTGGCCAAAAACATCCTTAAATTACATCCCTAAATTATCCTTCTTAACAAAAAACATCCTCCAAGTATTTAAAACATAACAACTTTCATCCTTCTATTAAAATTTGTCAAAAAATTAGTGAATTCCACACAAAAATATATGCTATTCATACTATTCTCATTAAAAAAAAATTCTATAATTTCATTACCGGTTGGAAAAACCTCTCCAAAAAAAAAAATCAAAATTGACCATTGTTTGTGGTTAAAAAAACAATGTTAGGACGGTGTAAGCTTATAAGGAAACATGATCTACTCTTCTCCTTTACCAACTGAATAGAGTTTGAATTTAATTTCACACCACCTTTCACCTTATGCAAAATCAAAATATCATTAAATAAATAATTTCTCGGGATAAACAGATAGTTGAGGTGATCAAGATTAAACTAATTTTGATCTCTAACGCTCGGATTTCGTTCTCCATTATTAGAAGTAAAAGTATCCAATTGACACTACTTCATGCAGATTCAATGAGAAGAAAACATATCAACTGCTAATTGTTTGATACAAATCAAATGAAAACAAAATTGCTAATCAAAAGGAAGACATAATGCCAATGTTGTTGCCAAAAAAAAATGGTAATATTTTAGATGTATTTTGAATGAAGAAAATTGGTTTATTGGAGTGATTTAGGGAGTTTTGTTGAGAGTAGTATGAATTGTACATGTTTTTATTTAAAAATTGTTGACAAATTTTAACAAAAGAATGAAAGTTGTTGAATTTTAAATAATTGAGGGATGTTTTTTGTTGAGAATAATAATTTAAGGATGGAATTTAAGTTGGTGGTATAGTATAAGGATGTTTTTGGCCGAAAACTCAAAATTGGGATCCCAAAAAAATTGGGGCCACAAGCGATTGCTTTAATGACCTTATGATCGAGACGGCCGTGCTCACTCCATGTTCCATTTTCAAACATTTATCGTAAGTTGACTAGTATTTTAAATTATTGATTAAAACCAAGTTTTATAATGCTGCTGTAAGGAAGAATCTGTGAAAGTGATTAGTTATTTGTGATGCTAGTGTTGTGTACAGTATTGATGTAGCACAAGAATGAATTGTAGCATTGTTGCAACAATATGCTCTTAACAGGGGAATTGATTTTGTATGCTATTTACAAATTTTTCTAGTTTTATGACTTTGTTACGATATCTTCATTTTTACACATGAGATCTGAAAAAAAAAAAAAAAAGTCATTTTCTTGATCGTTGTTTTCATCTCAAATCATATAAATCATTTTATACTTATTAAATTTATATCAGTCACTATCTTAAACGTTGGGAAACAAAATAAAATATTAGGGAAATAAGGAATTTTCGCCATCATAACTTCACCTGAAATTTGGTATAAAAAAACCCATGTTTTATTTTCTGATATCTAATGGCGCAAGTATACTTTTTTTAAGGAATATTTTGTAATGACAATATAATGTTTATTTTAACGTCAATTACCATATTTTAATTATTTTATTCTTCTTATATATAAATAAAAAGAAAATTATGACAATTAAAAAAAAATTACGATAAGTTTTAAAAAAAGGTACAAAAGTATCTTTTGACGGAAATAACATGGAGGTACCGGTACACTGTACATACAACTGTTGATAGGGAGTTAAATTTTAGTCAGACCTAGAAAATTAAAAATGATTATTGGTATACCAATTAACGTGTATGATTAATTAACATCTTATGTAGTACAGTGGTACTATTTACAATATTTGTTTATTAACATGCACTCACTATATCATTTTTATTTGTTCATTCTAAATTATGCACCTCTCTTAAAAAATATAAATAGATATAATATAATTAAAAAATAGTACTCCATATGTCTCTAATTATTTGTTTACTTTTTCTTTTTTAGTTGTTCTTAATTATTTGTTTATTTTGATAAATCAAGAAAAAATAAATTTATATTACATATTATACCATTAATTTATTATTTTGAGAAAAGTAGAACTTTTTGAAAATCTCAATATGTCAATTATTGTCTTCTTAATAAGTGTGATAATTCAAAAGAACAAGTAATTAAGCACCCACGGAATATGTTTTTCTCTTCCTATCCAGATTTTAACATCACTCTTCATTTTTCTTAGAGTTTTCTCTAAACCCAAAAGCATTAAGCAACATTGGAGCAACTAATCACCCCTATTGCCACTCTCAATAACGGAAGGTCAGATTTCTAAATTTTATGAGCTTATTTTTCTTTCAAATATATTGTAATATCTTCTATACGGTAGATCTGCTCATTTCTCTATCAGTGGACGTAGGTCAACGGAGAGATCCATATTAAATTAGTGTCTCTTTTGTTAGATTTCTCTTATGTTGTCTGATTAGTTGTCTTTGGAGGTCTGCTTTGTTAGATTTCGTATGTCATGCGATTTATTTGGATCCAAACATTGTTATACTAAGTTAGAAGTTACAATTCATAGACATTTCCATCCTAAGATCAGAAGAAGTGAACTACTAATGTAAGGGGTTTATTCATTTCATTCATCTTGATTATATGTCGGTGGCCTTTAGACTCATAAGACTTCACTTTGTTACTACTCCCTCCGTCCCATTTTATGTGGCATTTTTCGGATTTCGAGACTCAAACAAGTTAATTTTTTATCGTAAGTTTTTCATAAATCTTTTAAACATTTAGAATAAACAATTATTGTGATTTATAGTATTTTTTACGTAGTTTACAAATATATAAATTTCATTTCAAAAAAATTGAAGATTCCATGCGCAAATTTCCGATCAAATTGACTCTCGAAAAACGAAAAGTGACACGTAATTGGGACAGAGGGAGTTTAATTTTTTGGTTTGGTTTTTTTTTTCTCTAAAAGTTTACGATTGTTAATGTTTGTTTTCATTTCTTTTATGAAAAGATTGAAAGGTGGTAGAGTTACTAATTACTCAAGTCATGGATGTTGTTGAGACTTGTGGAAAGGAAACTCTTTCTTCTGGAGAGCCTTCCAACAAACGCAGCATTCCATCAATTGATGATGATGAAATCATCGGCTTTGAGGATGATGCAGAAATTATAATGAAGAAATTGACCGGAAGAACAAAGGAGTTGGACGTCCTCTCAATCTTTGGAATGCCAGGACTCGGAAAAACATCTTTGGCCAGGAAAGTGTACAACAATCCTTCTATTGTTAATCACTTTGATGTTAAAGTATGGTGTGCTGTGTCTCAAGCATATAATAGGACGACGTTGTTGGTTGAGATTTTCAAACAAGCTAATAATAAAAAGTGCAAAATCAAGGAGAATGATAACGTAGCTGACATGTTGCGCAAGATTCTGATAGGCAAGAGATACCTCATCGTGTTAGATGATATATGGGAAGTTGAGGCATGGGAGGATTTGAGATTATGTTTCCCTAGAGGTGAAAACGGATGCAGAATAATGGTAACAACTAGAATTGAACAAGTTGCTAAGCATCTCCAGCACTGCAGTGATCCTTATTCTCTTCGATTTCTAACAATGGAAGAGAGTTGGGTATTATTGCAGAAGAAAGTGTTTCGAGGAGAGAATTGTCCCTCAAATCTAGTGGAAGCAGGGTTACAAATTGCCCAACACTGTAAGGGATTGCCTCTTGTGGTTGTTCTGATTGCTGGAATGATTGCAAAAATGGGAAGGGAGGCGTCCTTGTGGCTCGAGGTTGCAAATGACTTAAGTTCCTTTGTTTTAGGAGAGCAGAGTATGAAGGTAATACAATCAAGCTATGACCATTTAGAAAACCACTTAAAGCATTGCCTTCTTTACATGGGATTGTTTGCAGAGGACCATGAGATTGCAGTGGATGATCTGCTGAAGTTGTGGATAGCTGAAGAGTTTGTATTGAATGCTGAAACAGAGAACATGGAGGAAGCATCTAGAGTTTGCTTGAACGATCTACTTAATAGAAGCCTTGTAATGGTCTCTAAAAAGAAAATCAATGGTGACATAGATAGTTGTATACTTCATGATGTAGTGCGTGAGTTTTGCTTGAGAAAACTTGAAGAAGAAAAGTTTATGCAGCTCACAGTGCCATACAGTCCATATCAGCATTTAAGTTCTATGAATTCACGGTTATGCATTTATATTCATGATGATCTTGTTGAAGAATTAGATCATTGTGACTATCAGTTTGATAAGATTCCAATGCTCGAGTCTAAGGAAAGTACAAAGTGTTTTGGTGAATGTTCTAGATCCTTGGAGTTCATTGCTCATCCAAATTTCAACTCAGGGAACATATCAAATCTTTTACCTTTACTTGTTAAGTTAAGACTTGTTCGGGTGTTGCATTTTCTTTATGAGGATCTGCCAAGTTCTTGGCCTACCGCAGTACAATCCCTGACTCACTTGAGGTACCTTGAAATTTCTGTTGAAGAATTTGATTTCGAGTGGATATCTCACCTGTTGGATCTTCAAACACTAGTGGTTCGTCCATCTAAATTTATAAGGACTTCGCCTGCAACTATCTGGAAAATGAAGAAGCTAAGGCATTTGAATGTAAAGAAACTTTCCTTGGTATGGGATGACAATGATAAAGCAATTTTTGAAGAAACTTCAACAACTATGCTAGAGAACTTGAAGACATTACACACTCATCGTATAACTGTGGATGATATGAATCCAAGGTTTTGGTGGAGATTTGCGAATCTTGAAGAACTCAGCCTCCGTGTTGAAGCTTTACCTAGTTGTCCTTTGTTTCCCTCAGTGGAAGTTCATACTCGTCTTCAATCTCTTAATCTGGTCATAAGCCCTCTGGGATTCTTTGATTCAGTTGGTTGGGAGAGCTACTTTGTCTTCCCTTCAAATCTTAGGCATTTGTACATTGGAGGTTGTTTCTTAACGAAAGAAATGATTCTAAACATTGCAAGATTGAAGAAGCTTCAAAGTCTCACATTATACGGGGGATTTTTACCATGGAAATCGGAGAACACTTGTTGGGACGCCACAAGTGTCGAGTTCCCTGCACTGAAATACTTGGCATTAGACTCTGTGAGGATGGAAGAATGGAAAGCTTCAGAGGAATCCTTTCCCGTGCTTGAGGAACTATCTATAAGAACTGGTTACTACTACAAGGAGATCCCTCCGAGCTTGGCAGATATTCCAACACTGCGACTTATTGAACTGTATGACTACACCGACTCTCTTGGGGTTTCAGCTATGAATATCAAAAAAGAAATCGAAGAAAACACAGGATGTGACAGTCTCCAAGTTCTTTTATTGTCCTAGATCGATACACATAGCATAGGTAGAGTCATAGACATTCTCATTCTCATTCTCATTCTCAATCCAAATAAGTATTCAACTAAACAATATTGTATTTCTTTTCTTCTTCTGCAGGGTAATTACTCCCTATTTTCTTCTGCAAGATTCGCAAATCTCCCTTTTTATTTGTATTTCAGAATGTATTGAAGTTTAACAAATTTAATATATTTATGTATTCAGTATCAATTTCATAATATATCTGTATATTCAAAATTAATTTCATCTCGTGCATTAATTTCATCAGAAAATGGACTATCCAGATTGTCAAGTGATGTTTTTTATTCACATTTTGTAAAAAACAAAAAAAAAAAAGTTAAATGCATTTCTTAACATATCAACTTCCTAATGTGTTTTGCATCTCTTGTGAGCAGGTTACCACAAAGTGTCCACCCAAAAGACAGAGCATATGATAGAGATTGTGGGTTTACTTGAGATTAAAAAAGAAAAAAAAACATGACAAGTAGTACGAGCTTGTTTAGTGAAGGTTCTTGGAGGCTAAAACCATTGTTTTTTTGCAAAATTTGAATAGTTCCTATCACTTGTATTGATCATTAATCATACATGTGAGTGTGCACATTACTTTAGATCTAGAATTCATTATCGTAATTAAGTTGATTTTTTATTCTAAATTATTGCTTAGCCAAGTCTTACTATAATCCTTTTTAAGCACCATCAACAATTAATATATTTACTCTAAACCAGAAGTTGATACACCATAAAATTTAATGAGATTAACTTTGTTCCACTGACTGTGGAAAAGAAAATTACACCATCAATTTATTTTAGAAATACTTATTTTTTTAATTTAATTATTATATTTTCACATTTAAAGATTAATGATTTTCAATTTCTCTCTTTCTTTTTATTTTTCAAACCACATTGTACAGATCTAAGATTTTTTTTTTTGAAATAACATTCAAATTTTCTTGATACTATCGATTTTGAGTATTCCCTCTGTCCCAATTTATGTGACTTACTTTACTTTTTGGTCAATCTTAAAAAGAATGACACATTTCTATATTAAGTAACAATTTAACTATAAAATGTTTACTTTACCCTTAATGAAATGATTTACGGCCACACAAATTTCTTTCATTCATTTTGAACCACAAATTTTAAAAATCTTCCTTTGTTTCTTAAACTCCGTACCGAGTCAAACTACCTCACATAATACAATCCTCTCTCATTTTATATTTCTGTTACCATCAAATTAATCAAACCTTTGAAACAATTAAACTCTCATCTGTGGCCACCCTCAACAACACAAGGTAAGAATTTTGTTAAGTTTTTTGTTGTTGTTATATTGCTATTTCTCTTCTCATCTTTTGTACAATAATATTTATTCACATTTTTATGTCTTCTTTATATATATGTTGTGATTATGAGTTCCTTTTCTTTCCAATAATGTAAAACGCTCACTTGAAAATTTCTCTATATTTTGGATTATGAGGCCCAAAACAATATTGGTAAGTTGGGCAATAAATGGGATTTAATTTCTTAAATGATGAAAAGAAGTGTACTAATGAAGTAAAAGGGGAACATGAAAAAAACTGTCAAATATTTTTTTTAGAACTGGTGACAAATCCAATTAGATTAATTTTGTATTAAATAACTCAAAAACTAAATTACTTTATTGATACAAAACAAGGAAAAGGTACGAGTATCGCCTAAATTATGACCGAAATCTCAGAGACACACATTAACTAAACTAAGGTCCTATTACCCCTGAACCCATTTTTTTTGAATTTTTGTACACCTTTTTGACTTACGTGGCATCCAAATATCTCCCACGTGCCTCAATTGCGTGGAGTTACGGAGTGTGCCACGTAAGCCAAAATGTCTACAAAATTACCAAAAAAATGAGTTTGGGTAATAGGATCTTAGTTTAGTTAAGGTGTGTATCTGAGATTTGTCATAGTTTGGGGGTATCTGTGTCTTATCCCATACATAACATAGTTAAGTTGAGGCTATAATTTGTTGGTTTGGTTTTTTTGTCTAAATTTTGAAGATTTCATTTCTTTTATGAAAGTTGAGATCAAGGCAGTTGGATTGCAGTTGACATATTGTACATGGAGACTTGTGGAGAAGGAGCTTTTTCTTCTGGAGGACCTTCTACTCAACGTAATTTTCCATCAATTGATGATGCTGAAGTTGTGGACTTTGAGAAAGATGCAGAAATTATAATGAAGAAATTGACCGGAGGAACAAAGGAGTTGCACGTCCTCTCAATATTTGGGATGCCAGGACTTGGTAAAACAACTTTGGCCATGAAAGTGTACAACAATCCTTCTATTGTTGGTCACTTTGATGTTAAAGTATGGTGTGATGTGTCACAATCATATAATAGGAGGAAGCTATTGGTTGAGATTTTCAAACAAGCAACAAATGATAATAGCGAAATCAAAGAGGATGTTGACATAGCTGACAAGTTGCAGAAGGCTCTAAAAGGCAAGAGATGCCTCATTGTGTTACATGATATATGGGAAGTCGAGGCATGGGAAGATTTGGGTTTTATGTTTCCCTAATGGTGAATATGGAAGTAGAGTAATGGTAACCACTCGAATTGAACGAGTGGCTACACATCTTCAACATTGTGGTGAACCTTATTCTCTTAGATTTCTAACTCCGGAAGAGAGTTGGGAGTTATTGGAGAAGAAAGTATTTCAAGGAGAGAGTTGTCCCCCGGATCTACTGGAAGCAGGATTACAAGTTGCCAAACATTGCAAGGGATTGCCTCTTGTGATTGTCCTGATTGCTGGAATTATTATGAAAATGGAAAGGCGTCCGTCCATGTGGATGGAAATTGCAAATGATTTAAGTTCTTATGTTTTAGGAGAGCAGAGTATGAAGGTGATACAGTCATGTTATGACCGTTTGGAAGACCACTTAAAGCCTTGCCTTTTCTATATAGCATTGTATCCAGAAGACTGGATGATTCAAGTATCGGATTTGATGATGTTGTGGATGGCTGAAGAGTTTGTACTGAATGTCGACACACAGAATATGGAGGAAGCATCTAGAATTTGCTTGAATGATCTACTTAACAGAAGCCTAGTAATGGTTTCTCTCAGGGATTATGATGGGGACGTAATATGCTGCATACTTCATGATGTAGTGCGTGAGTTTTGCTTAAAAAAACTTACAGAAGAAAAGTTTATGCAGCTCACAGTGCCATACAATCCATATCAACATTTGAATTCCATGGAATCACGGTTAGGTATTTATATTCATGATGATCTTGTTAAACAATTAGATCATTATGAATATCAGCTGGATAAAATTCCAATGCACCAGTCCAATCTGGAAACAAAGTGCTTTGGTGAATATATGTCCTAGGACTTTGGAGTTCATTGTTCATCCAAAATTCTACACATGGAACAGATCAAATCCATTAGCTTTACTTAAAAAACTAAAACTTGTTCGGGTACTGAAATTTATGGAGGTATGCCTTCCAAGTTCTTGGGCTAATGAAGTACAATCGCTAACTCACTTGAGGTACCTTGAGATTTATGTCAAAGAATTTGATTTCAAGTGGATATCTCATCTGCTCAATCTTCAAACTCTTATCATTCGTTCACCTAGTACTCTAAGGACATCGCCTGGGGCTATCTGGAAAATGACGAAGCAAAGGCATGTACAAATATACGAATTGTCCTTTGTATGGGAAGAGAATGATCGTGCAATTTTTGAAGAAACTTCAACAACAATACTAGAGAACTTGAAGATATTCCGTACCTATCATATATTGGTAGATAATACGACTCCAAGGTTCTGGTGGAGGTTTCCGATCATTGAAGAAATCAGCTTCCGTGTTGACGAGTTACCTAGTTGTCCTTTGTTTCCCATAGTGGAAGTTCATACTCAGCTTCAATATTCTCTTAGTCTGGTGACAAGCTATAAGGAATTCTGAGATTCAGTTGGATGGGAGAGCTACTTTGTCTTACCTTCAAATATTAGGTGTTTGTACTTTGGAGGTTGTTTCTTGACGGAAGGAATGGTTTCAATCATTGCAAGATTGAAGAAGCTTGAGAGTCTCACAATAAAGGGGAGATTTCCCGTGAGAAAATCAGAGAACCATTACTGGGACGTCACAAATGTCGAGTTTCCTTCACTCAAGATCTTGATATTAGAGAGTGTGAAGATGAATGAATGGGAAGCATCTGACGAATCCTTTCCCGTGCTTGAGAAGTTATATCTACTATTTTGTTTCTACTTCAAGGAGATCCCTCCTAGCTTTGCTGATATTCCAACACTGCAACAAATTACATTGCATAACTGCAATGACTTTCTTGTGGATTCAGCTATGAATGTTAAAAGAGAAATAGAAGAAAACACTGGCTGTGACAGTTTCCAACTCCATATATTGCACAACCCCTAAAGTAGGTTCAGCACCTCTTTAATTTCTTCCATCTAAAGGAGATGTTCTGATTTGTCTGTATGGCTTTTTAGTTCTGTAATTTCCTGTAATGTTTTTCGAATCTTCTATTTTGTCATGGCTCAATGTATGTGTCTCAACTCTATTGCTTGCTTCATTTTATTTAAGTACGTTGAGATGAAGAGAGTACTAAATAAGCATAACGCCTCACCTTTTAAATTTCAGTTTTAGTCCACCTATTCTATTGAGCTGCCCTGTTGATATTATGTATCAACGTTACCATAGTTATAAATATGAATGTTAACAAGGATAGAATGAGACAGGAGTAGGGGATCGGAACAAGATCGGTTTTTGTCCACCTATTCTATTCAGCATACTTTGTATATACGTTAACAGAATCCACTAAATAAAGTATAAACAATGAATTTGAAATTCAATAATTGAATGAATTGCAATAGAATATCAACCTCTCATAAAGTTCAAATTTTGAATCCGCCTTTTGAAATATCCATCATAATTTGCTCCTAGACATGCCTTGTTCCAAACAGTAGTTTATAGTATGTCACAACAAACACGTTTTCAATTAATTTGTTAGGTCCTCTGTTTCTTCTTTAGTAGAGTATAAAAAGTAACTACAAATGTACTTTAACATTGAATTTTGATCTTGAAT